GTGGTTTTTTTTTTTTTTTTTGTTTCCTACCAATTGCATATAGATGACATGTGGAATGCTGGATCTAGTCGGTTTGCGCATCATGTTATTGATGTTACTGTTACATTGCTTGTCGGTTGACTGTATCTTGAGATTTTAATGAAAAAGTTCATGTGAAAAGCCACCAAGAAGAAAAGGGCTCTTGTCAAAGTTGGGAGAGGTAGAAAACTTCCTCTGAATTCAGTTTGTCTTAACATCGAGACTGTTCTTAGCTTTCAAACTCAGTTTGTCTTAAGGACATCGAGAGTATTCTTAGACTTTTGTAGATGTGCGTTTGGGGTCTTTTTGTGCGTGTGTGTGTACATCTTTGACAGAAGAGAACTTGACTATCAAAAAGGGTGTAACTACATATCCATTCAGTGGGGTTTTTTTCATCTTGGAGGTTGAGAGGCATTAAAATATTTATAATCCATGACTGCATATGAAAATGTATATGCATTTAAATAAAAAATGTTATTTCTGAAACCATTTTACATGTGAAAAAAGGAATCAGATCTACCTCGATGAGTAAGCTATCTTTTTGTTTACTCGAGCGATGCATGAAATGTTAGAATGCTGCAAGTTACATATGTAGCTTTTTTTTAATGGAAACAAACATTCTGCCGTCTAATTTATGGCTGGCATGTCTTTCTTCCTCAGACCTGCATTGGAATAAAACGGCAGGTGGTATAGAGGGAGCACTGCCAGATGAAGAGAATACATTTCAACAGAATAAAAGCAGTAACAATAAAAATAACGGCTACAGCAATGCAGTCCAGAAAGAAATCACACTGCCTTCAAGACTAATCTATTACATCAACAGAGACTCTGAAACCCCTTACCATATCCTGGATACAAAAGCAAAGCACCAGCAGAAACATGACCAGGTAGGGTAAAAAGAGGCTCGTCTGCAGAATTTTCAAAATGGTAATATGTGATGTGGAACTGTATTTGAATGTTTTGTTCTGTATATCTTTTGAGACTTAATGGTGGTCCTTACCACCATTTTTAGCAATTAAAGGAGGATATGTAATTAAACAGGAATGTAATTTCCCTTGTGTTAATTTAAAAATTTTGAATTTCAGGATGGTTCGGAAGCTGAACTGTCGATAAACCAAAAGGGAATTATGCAAAGTTGACTTGTCTGATAAGTGTAGATTCTAGTGTCTTGACTTACACCATCATCAACAAAATGCTGCTTCTGAAATAGCTCGACACTGCAGAAATGTCTGCATAGGGAGTTTCTTTAGAATCCTGACCTTACTTGGCTTTGAGTGTATCATGCACTACCAAGTAAGTGCAGTATTGGTTTCCTGCCAGTGTATGGCCAGTGAAGACAGCTGTAAAGTGTTACTAGTTTTTGTCAAAGAATACCTGCATTTTTTGGTTTTAATGACAATGTTTCATTTTGCGCAGATGCAAATAGTAAATTTTAAAATGAAATTGCGTGGGATTGAACAAACTTTGGTTTTGTGAAATAACTTGGTAAAGAAGTAAACCTATTCTAAACTATATCACTTAGTAGACACCCTTCAAAGTTATTCCATCCTACTTTTACAGTTTTTGATTTAAAGAATTAATTTATTCCCACAGGTTTAAAAGGTTAAGTGAAGGTAAGGATGGTTTGTATAGGAAGAGATTGCCATGGTAGAGAAGAGAGACAGCAAAGCAGATCAGTATGTATGGTATTACAGAAGGAGTTGGCTATAATGGAGTTGCTATTGAATTGCATTATTTTTTTAAGTTTTAGGAAGTGAATTTGTTATGCATTATACATGCTTTTGTTGATATGGATTACGTGCTATTTCAGATGTGGAATTAATATGAAGGCACTGTATAATCTCTGAAAAAAAAAGATGAGATAGTTGTGTACTTTTGCTGTTTTAGTGGGAAGAAAGGTTTCTTCCTTGCTTATGGAACCTGAATACCAGTATGTACTACTGGATGCATCTAAATACACCAGTATGTTATGGATGGCACAGAAAAGCTATTTGGTTGCTGGAAACTGGAGCTACTTAAGAGAAGTCTACATTCAGAACTAATGCCCCTTTAAAGCAAGACCACTCTTTTAAATAAACATTAGGGACTTTCTGTTCACCTCTTTGAAGAGGGATGTGGAAAGAAAAGGGTTTGCAAATGCTTGCAGACCTGCCTTTGGGAATTGTGCTTCTTCCATGTATCTACATGAGTTTTTTTTTCTTGGGAATCCACAGAGGAGAATGTCTGCCAATCTCTTTACTTACCCAGCATTGCTCACAAGAACACTGCTGCTGTTGCCTACCCTTCCTATGCCCTACCTTTCATCTACCTGTTGGCATAAAGCTCTGCAGAGATCAGTGCTGACAGGATTGGTATTGATTTCCTTGGGTATGCTTGCTGCTGATTATTGTGTAAAGTGGATCTCCTTTCTACTCACTGTATCCCTTTTAAGCGTAGGGAATGCTAACACTGCAGTTTTTCCCCATGGAAGGGTTCTTTAAGCTTGGGGCTTCGTGGAGGATGATATTATGTTGACTTCATTCTTCTGGCATGAAACTTCTATTGCTTTGATCCATTTAATTGAAGGAAGGGGTGGATTATGTTCCTTGTCTGGATTAATTTTTGCATGTTTTGCTTCCAGAGCACCATAAAGGGCTCCCCCCAACTTGCATCTTGTGTCTTTCCTTGCATGAAGTAATTTCTTTGCCCTTCCATCTATTTTACCAACAATATAATAACAAATATTTTTGTTATGTTGTTTTGTTTAACATTCACCATAATTGTCTCTGTAGAGCAATAACTGGGGAGGTGGGGGAAATCTGCCTAGCATGTAAAAGCAAAAGAATCCATGAAGAAAATGGAGTGCAATTGGATTGTGAAAGATACATGAGGCTTTTGATTTTTTTTTTTGTGGAGCGGTTTCCCAGAATTAAAATAAATGCTATATTGTAATAAATCCCACTTGTGAGATTTTGCTATCTCCCACATTGGTAATAAAAAGAAATAACCAAAATACCTTTAGAGTTAGGTAAAGAAAGAAATACATGCTTAGGATTGATTTTTAGCATGTGAAAAAAGTAAAAACAAATATCATATACATAGTGGACAGCTGAGGAATAAAAATACTTTTTTGTTCTTTTTTACTGTTCTTGGAACCATACATCCTTTAACCTGTATTTTCTTGTCAGCCTTAATAGAGCATTTATAGACATATGATGTGGATATACTGCCTAATTATGGATATTTTTCAGTAGACCCCTTTCTGTGGAACTTCATTATAGTGGCCAGAAGAATATAAACCATATGGATAGTTTGTGGGATTAGGCCTGAATACCTCAGAACTGCTGAGTCATTGTAAGCAGAGGGGAAGAGTAGAGCAAATTGTGTGCATGTGAGAAGAAAGAGGTAAAGCTAGAGAAATATAATTGTGTAAAATGATTAAAATATTTTATTTTTGAAAGTATCTTCCTAAAAGTAAGGGTCTTCATCCTTCTTCCTAAAATGTATGTAGAAGTGAGGGACTGGAGGAGGAAACAGTGTACCAGAGAATCAAAAATTTAAATAATAAATTGCTTTCTTGGCACTGATCCTCTGTATCCCCTTTTGAATCTGGTGAAACACCATCATAATGAGAGGGTGTATGTGATCTAAATGGTTGGTAGAACCTTTGTCATTCATTCTTCTAAGAAGTTTTTTCTCAGTGTTGAAGAAAATCTATGTTCACCATAGTTTTGACTAAGTGAAGTGGTGTATTTCCAAGGTGGACAGAGTTCTAGCACATAATGTATTTTTTCTTTTTATTTTTAAATACTTGGTGCTTGAAGCCTCTAAAGTCTGTATACCTGTTTCCTCATAGTCAAATTAAGTCTAGCTGGTATTAAGTTCTGAAGCTATTTTTAGTGTGAAATACTCAAAAATGAGCATCTGCTTAGAAAAGCACTGAAGAAGCTCACAAGAATCCTTAAACTTGCTGAAGGGGTCTGAGTCATCTGTGTTCTGCTGCTCTGTCTTTCTAAACTTCTGCAGATGAAGGTGGGGTTTTGAATGAACTGGTAACCTCTTCATTGAACCAGATGAAGGTTTTGATTCATTTTTGCAGACTGCATATACAAGATTGTTAGGACCTAGTGGGAAGTCTGTATGGGACACAACTTGTCACAAAAGGTTGGGAGCGAGTCCTTATGGTGGCCAGCAGAGGGAAAAATCTTGCAACACAAGATGTGATCTCAGGATGATAGGGTTGCCAGAGAAACACAACTCAGAGTAACCTTAACAAATTTTGGGTGAAAAATAGCTTGAACTAGGTGCATATGAAGGAAGACTGCTTTCTGAGTGTTTTTAGACCACTGAATCAAGCTCTCAGAAATTGTAAAGCAGCAGTGTCTTCATGCATAATTCTAAGCTGTTAGTGTAATTTTGGGGAGGAGGGAGGTATTAAGAAAACTTTTACAGACCTTAATGACTGTAAAAAAAAAAAAAAAAAGATGTCTGACTGTGAAGACAGTTCCATTCCCCCACCTCCCAACTGTATTTATTTTGGGCTATTTTTCTTGGCATAAAAACTCCAGGTGCTTCTGTTCAGCTCAGCTGTTTGTTGTTTAAATAAAGAAAATATTCCTGCCAAGCTGAATGTTATGTTTTCTGCTATGTTGCCCTGCTTTTAAGGTTGAGATACAGTGCTGTCTCAGTCCTTTACGCAACTTCGGTTTGTAGCATATGAAAGTTAAGAGGTGAAACATCTTTAAGACAACAGGAAAACAAGTATCTCGGCTATTGCAAAGGAGGTGGTTTTGAAGAAAAAATAGGCCTGTTCTGTAAAAGACGAAACATCATGGTTAATCTCTCAAGAGGGGGCATCATGTGAATTCTTACTAAAATTCCAGATAAAAATCCTGTGTGTTAATTATTGTCTTCTCTTGCCTGTATTAGGCCAGGTCTTAACTTTGAATCCCCATGTAAGCAAAGCTGATCAAAATAATGAATGAACTTCATGTGGCTTATGTGTATGAGTTTAAGACTGTTGGAGAAGCTGGCTTTGCAAGAGTTTTTTTTCAGAACTTTCTGTGGTGCAGCTTCAATTTACACTACTTGAAATGGATGATTTTGTGTACTTTTTTTTCTATTTGATATTGAATTTATATTAATGCAAAAGGCTTATTTGGACTCTGTGTCTCCAGTAGTTATTGACAGGAGGGTTGAAATTGGTCTTCCTACCTCCTTTAGTTTCTGGGAGTAGAAGGCCATTTTCTTTATGCCAGTTTCTCCTCGATTAGATCTACATCTTGGTTCCTTAGCTGAAATGTGGGTCATAATATTTCTAAAAGTTTTTAATTTTTTTTTTTTTTTAAACTATTTCTGAGTCCTCTCATGAGCTTCAAGTATTAACCTACAAAAGGCTTCAGTTCCTAAGTGTTAGGTAGTACAACACTTGTACTTGTTAGGCCTTGTTCCGACAGAAAAAGAAGTTTATAGGTGTTCTAGAATTTGTGGGAATCTTGGTACTGCAGGAAAGTGGTCCAAGCTATGGATACACTACTTTGTAGAGTCTTATGAACAAAACCCTGAAAGGGATAGGATTTTAGAGACAATGTGTCACTTACGGATGGTTATCTAAGTATTGTTGTGCTGTGAGAGAATGGTGGGTTCTGGCCCTTGGGGTTAAAAAAAACCAAGTAGGATTGCTTTCAGAGGTAAGGCTGAGCCTTTGTTCCTCTGCTGACAACTGTTCTTCCAGTCTTGAAGGCTTGAGGTTCAAGTGTGTCAAACCAACCTGTCTATTAGTCACTAAAGACCAGAAACGAGTCATCAACAGGAACTTTTCAGAAATCGTGTATGTTTTAAACATGAATTTTTACATGCTGCTGTGACATTTGTCTATGCTGTTTCAGTATGAAATGCTTTATTTCCA